CCACGTGGCTTCAGTCCTCTGAGTTTACTTCTCCTCATGTCTCTTAGTGGAACAAAGACGGTTCAGAAATGTGCCATGGAATCCTGGCAGACCTGGAAATCAGCTTCTGATGTCTTGGTTGTAGTTGAGCTATCAGACCTACTGCTGGGGACCATGTTTTCTGTTCCCTCACATCTTCCATCCCTGGAATGGAGGAGTCTTGGAGGGTCCAACTCCTTTAAGTTGTGCAAAATGAGCCGCTCCCCTATTGCTGACCCTTCTGATACAGAGGCAGTGATGGTGTTGTGGCCCCTCGCATGCGATGTTGCCATCAGCTCTGAAGGATTTCTGGCCCCTGAGGTTACCTGGATGACCTCAGTGGAGCAAAGGCCTGTCAGGACTTCTGTGAGCACACTTAACAGCAGGGTCATCCTCCCTAGCAGAGTTTAAGGAACCCAACCTCACAGGCCTCCACATCCACATCCTTAGGCTAAAATCAGAGATACAATTATGGAGGTGAGAGCCTATGCATTTTAAGGCCGCTACATAGAGCAGAACATCTGCTAGAGAGATCAACCAACTCAGAACTAGAAGGAACAACTCCAGGCCCCCAGGAGAGCTGTTGGAGGGAGCCTGGATAGGTGTTCTTGCTCTGGAAGCAGGGGACACCTCCTCCCTCCTGGAAGACAGCTGGCTCCAGCAAGCTCCTCTGCCCATCAGTACACAAGGGGAGGGGGCAGACCTGGAACACTAGGGCTGTGACTGAATCAACTCCATGTCTGTACCCTCCAGGGCCTGAGCTCTGTGACAGAGGACTGCAGTCCTCTCCCTTGCTCTTCCAGCAAGTCTCCTTTGCTCTGCTCTACAGTTTAGAATGCTTCATGGCCCCTCATAGCCCATCTTTCCACTCCATTTGTTGCTGTCTCTGAATAATGTTTGTGTTTCGATCACACTTGCCACGTTCCACTGCTTCATTTGGAAGTCCATCTTGTTTGTTTTTGAATAGGCAATACATGATGCACTCAGCATCTGAGTGCAATGGTGAACTCTGGCAGAATAGAGTAGGAAGAAAGCAGAGGAATTTTATCATCCACCCACCATGCCTGACATGTCCTGCATTTCATCTGGCAGCTTGACACGATGACACAGAGGCTAGCCACTGTGTTCTGAACCCCACTGTTTCTGGACAGAGGGAAGGTCTGAGCCTAGACTAATAGAGGAAGCTCCTCCTTCAGCTGATGGTTGTAGAGCTCTCCCTACCTCCACACTACCCCACTGCAGGGCTAGTCTTGTGCAGACCTGGGAATAGCAGGGAGAGTAGGGAATTCAGGTCAAGTCAGCCTGTAACCATCTAATGGTCCTCCATCTGCTTGTTCATTTATTCAAGAAATATGTGCTCTCTTCCATCAGCATGCCCTATGTTAGGTCCTGTGCTGAGTGCTTAGGGTCCACAAAGAACTTCTGGATCATAACAGCACTGCTGCCCAGGTTCTCTGGCCCCCACATGGCCATTTATCCCTCAGTTCCTGCCCACTGTTCCTTTGGCTCCAGTCTACTTTTCTTGGGAAGCTGCTCTTTTCTCCAGCCTAGGGCTTCCTGACCACAGGTCTTGGTCTCTGTAGTAGAAGCAGGCAGTGACCTGGTTGGAGTGAGAAGCAAGGGGCAGCAAGGGATCCTGGGAAAACCAGTAGACACAAATGCCCCTCCCTGCCCAGACCCAAAGTCTTTTCCTAGGGCACTCAGTTGAGCCCTCGTGATATGTGAGCACCAGATGGGGTTGTGTCCTGTGGGTGGACACAGGTAGCAGTGGGACCAGTCAAAAGCCCTTTGGTCTAGTCTCTGTCTCTAGGACTTTGGAGCCAGGCAGAAGCAACACACAGTCCTTTCTGACATGGACATGAGCAGCAAGCAGTGCCCCTAGGTACAAGTCCATGGGAGTTCTCAGAAAGCAGTCTGTGCCTCTCACAGACATCATTGTCTTTCACTCAGCTCCAAATATGACCCCAAACATGCTATCTTGGGTATGAGGGATATTGAGAGCTACTAAAATGGGTGGTGGGCCTCATTTTTTCACCTCCAGGGTATCAGATAGAGCCTACCTCTTGGTTTTAACCTTCCTTGATTAGATAGATGAAAGTTCTTGCCATGAGCATCAATCAGAACCTTCCAGGGAAGTGAGGCTCCCTCTTCCAGGGATGCTGCTAGCCTGAGAGCTAGTTCGGCCAGGGCAGGTTGCCTGACAAGGTCTCTGAGACCTTCGTATTGACTGAGTGCTTACTATTCTGGGCAGTGTTGTGAGAACTTTTCTGAAAGCCCCATATTCATGCAGAGGAGGTCAGCAGTTGGGAAATAGTTGGAAATGAATACTGTAGGGGAGGAGACAGAAACCAGCTGGAAGAATTCTTCTTTTAGATGGGCTAACATTTCAGTAATGACACAGTAAAGTCAGTTGCTGGTGGCTCACCCCTGTAATCCTAGCTAAGTCAGGAAGCTGAGATCTAAGAATCACGGTTCCAAATAGCTGGAGCCTGGCTTGGTATTTTTCAAATTGTTTATCTTGATTGATGGATTGGTTGTAGGTTATGAGGCTTGAACTCAGGACCTGGATACTGTCCCAGGGCTTTTTCGCTCAAGGCCAGCACTCTACCGCTTTGAGCCATAGCTCCACTTCCAGTTTTCTGGTGGTTAATTAGAGTTAAGAGTCTCATGGACTATCTTCCCCAGGCTGGCTTTGAACCTTGATCCTCAGATCTCATCCTCTGGTGTTGCTAGGATTACAGGTCTGAGCCAGTTGGAGGGTTTTGTTTGTTTGTTTGTTTGGAGACTGGGTCTCCTTGTGTAGGCCCACCCAGGTGGCTTGGAACTCTCTGTGTTACCCAAGCTGGCCTTAATTGGAATTTCCTGCTTTGCCCTCCTGAATGCTGGTAGTATAGGTGTGTACAACCAAACCTTGGTGGGCTGTTCGGACTTAAGAAGAGCATCTCCCTCAACCCAAGGTCACCTTCTGGAGCTGTACAATAGTACAGAGCCCTGGGGGAGGGGTGGGGCTAGCATTACAATGGCTCAACACCCTCTCCCCCCCCCCCCCCCACGTGAAGTACAAGACTTTCAAAAAATTAAAACTTTTTTTATTATCTTTAAGTAGTTGGGAAAGAAATTGCCAGTTGAGGGAAGTGCCTTAAAGTGAATGAAAGCTGCCTCCTTTCTTTTGCCAACTCTGTGCTTGGTTACTTAATGTCATTGTCAATAAGAAAAAAATGGAGACTAAGAGCAAATTATACCATTCAACTTTGTGTTACTAGCTTTGTGTGTACTAGCTTTATGTGCCATTATCAGAGCATTTAGCTCACATATGAGATCAGGAAATTATACAACTTGTATTATGTGCCTGGTTCCTGGAGGTGTTTTGAGTGAGCCAGAAAGAACTCCAGCCTTGCTAGGAAAGGTTGGAAGGAGGAACAGAGACAACACAGGCTCACAAATGCCCAGGGCCTCCCCCAATGCAAGGCCTCCTCTCTCACACATGCATTCTTGGGCCTGGCAGTGGCTGTTTTCTGTTCTTCCCAACTGCTTTGCCCTGGCCTATCCCATAGCAGCCAGGTAACTCCAAGAGTCTTTTAACACAGTAGGTGCTAGGACAGGCTTTGGGAGGGTGGGAGCTTACGCTTGTTAAAACTCAGCCTCTAGCTGGCCGCCTACCAGACATACTGATGGATACTGGCATACCAAGGATTCTGGGCCAGAGGTTAGGAACAGTTCCCACCTTAATTTCCTGACAACACAGAGCCTGACTTGGACTCTCTGTTAAGGGTAGAGGTTGTATCAGTCACAGAGTAGGAACTAAAGGACACCAAGCAAGTCCAGGGCCTCCCCAGGGAGCAGGAGCTACTGACAGCTCATCCCAGAGGGACCAGGAAGACAGGGTTGTGTTTGAGCTCAGACTCTACCACCCTAGTTACACTTACTGAACAATGATTCAAAGGTAAAATGATGAAGACTTTGGAGAAGGCCTTACAGAACATTCCACCACAAGGGTAGGCCCCTTCTGAGCATGAGATCTTGTATGGCTGCACTAGTCATCTGCTCACAAAGCTGGGCCTCGAGAGAAGAGGGGAAGATGTTCTTCAGGTCATATGACATTCCTGATCCTCTGTTTCCTTTGAATCAGACAGAGGAGGGGCTCACAGGATGGTCACATATGAATGGGAGCTAGGACCCCCTCTTATTTCTCTCCTGGTGCTTTTCTCTGTGTTAACAGACTCAGTCAATCCTCAGTGGTCCTGTGAGGCAGGACTTATGAGCCCACTGCTCGAATGAGGAAACTGAGACCTAACTAGGCTAAGTGATTGAGTAAACAGGTGGAGATGGCAGGTTGGGCCTGGCACCAAGCAACAGGATTCCCCATTCTCCCCTTGAGTCCCCGCCTTACGCTTCCCACCTGTTGATCTTGGTTCTCCCCCTCACATAGGTCCCCCAGGGGCTGCTCAGCCTCTCTCTCAGCATTTCAGCTTTAGCCTTTATGCTAAAATCTCTGGTCACTGTCTAGCCCAACCTCTTCATGCACAGGCCCTTGCATAGGTTGCTAGTCAGCTTTTGGAGCAGCTTCTCTGGGGCAGGGATCCATCCATGTCTGGTCAGTGATGACAAAGCAGAGAACAAGGACACATGCATGACACACGGAAGAACTTGGCTGCCCCCCCCCCCGCAACCCCTGGATCAGGGAAAGACTTGAAAACTGGGTATCTCTTAGGTAGACTGCCCATCTCAGAATCCTGACTCCGACTACTCTCAGACTTCTGTCAGGAAAATCTTCATTCTAACACAAAAGAAACCAATCACTGCTGGAAAGATGGTGGCAGGCCATGGCAGCCGTGGGCACATTACCCTCCTGTAGGACACACATGGAATCAGTTACTTGAGAGTACTTCCTGTAGGGGAGAGGGGAGTCTGGGATTTCCTTGATGCCCTTCTGAGCAGGCCCCCTTCCCATTCATCTCTCTTTCCTTTCTTCCATGTGCCAGAACTCCACCTGGAAGGGAACTTCCTACATCGTCTCCCCAATGAGGTCAGCAGCCTGCAACACCTCAAGTCTATTGATCTGTCCCGGAACCAGTTCCAAGACTTCCCTGAGCAGCTGACCACCCTGCCAGCACTGGAGACTATTAACCTAGAGGAGAATGAAATTGTGGGTGAGTCCAGCCCAGTCTGGGGCTGCTGTTGCATGAGTCTCTGCAGGGCCTGAAACTTTGAGGTTCCGCTTTCACAGTCAGGTGAGGGACTCCTGAGAAGATAGCCACTGTGTGATCCTGCAGGTTGATGATCAGAGCTCCTGAAAGAGCTGAGCTACTGTGGACCACAAGCTATCCCTCTCTGGGTCTCTATGTGTCAGCCTAGGCTATCTCTGAGACGCTTAAACTGTAACCCTTTCAACATTGAATCCTACCCGAGTCCCCTGCCTTCATAGAGGCCTCCATGTGCATGAGCATGGGCCATGGGGCAGACATGCCACAATACCTTCTGTGTGGCTCCTGGTGTAAACATACCCTCTCCCTGGTGTAAACATACCCTCTCCCAGCCTCTTGTGGTCCCACCACGGGTGGGTGGGTGGGTGGGGGCAGACCAAGAATCCCATGTGTATCCTCTCCAAACTACAGCCCCAGGGAGCTGGGGTCTGTTGAGGTTGGAGGAAGACCCTCCCTTCTCTGGCAGCACTTCCATATCTGCTTCATCAAGACTTTGAAGAACTGAGTGTCCTCTTCAGCCGGCAGTCTCATCTTCCCAGAGGAAGCTGAACACTTGCTGGGTGTCTCTGGGTCCTCATTTCTCTATCTTGCTCCTGCAGCTGGCCTGGCCGCATTTCACCTCACTGAGCTTCTAACTTTAATGCTTATTCTAATGCTACTGCTATTACTTCTAATCTTTTTCAATTTTGCTCTTATTTTTTTAAGTCCCTTTATAGTCATTATGTCGTTTGACTAAAAGCAAGGGGTTTTATTTTGGGGGGAGGGAAGTGTGGAGGGGCTGTTTTGGACTGCCCAATAGGAATGGCTGTCTCATGCTGTGATGAGCCCATCTCTGAGCCCCACAGCAGGCAGACCCTGGCTGGGTGAGGGGTGGGAACAGTCCATGAGAGCTGTCCCAGGTCTGTTTGGATGAGTAAACTCCGGTCCTAAGACATTAGGAGAGAGCATCAGGTTGCAGAGAAACTGTAGAAGTGCCAAGAGGAAAACACATGATTCCAAAGTCTCAACCTTGTATCTGTCATGGGGTTTTCTTGACTGGTCTTTGGGAGGCAAGGTGGGCCATGCGTCTTTCCCCACAAGAGATAAGATCTCACAGCAGCACCCCTGCAGTGGAAGCTCCACAGTCACATGCCTCTGCCTTTCTACAGTGACAGTAATAACTTGTTACACGTGGATCATCTTACAGCTTACCAATATTGCATCTGCAGGGTGATCACCCCTATTTGACTGTCCTAGAAACTGAAGAGAAATTTAAGGCCAAGTGCTTATTGCACAGCTGGCCAGGCAAGAGATACAGCAGTGACTAGGCTGTTTCCAATTCAGCCTGTGGCATAGCCTAGCCTGGGCCAGGTTGGGGGATATGAAGATCCTGGGGCAGGAGAATAGGAGAATTACCCCTGTCCAGTAGAGGCCTCTATTTTTCCCTAAGCAGCAGGTGCCTTACTGTTCACACTGCTGGAGTCTTGGGTCGTTTTTCACTCCCCAGTATGAGGGAGGGGAAATGTGGAAGGGCAGCCATTGCCCTGCCTACTTCTTTCTCTCCCTGATCCATTCTTGCTACTTGGGAGCTTTAACACTCCCAAACCAGTAGTACCTTCCCAGCCTCCTCTCCACTGTCCCCCACCTCCCTGCCCTCATTGTCATGGCTCTTTGTTGGAGGGAGGTGAGAGCCTCCAGCTGCATGTTCTTCACTGTGGAAATAGCTTTTGCTTTTCTCAAGTTGTAGCTGATTCCCTGAAGGATCTCATTGGAATAACAGTAGTAGGAGCTTTGGATGCCTTCCAAGGGGTTTATCTTTTCCCTTCAGAACCCTCAGTGGGTGCTGGGAAAATAAAACAAATTTTAAACGAGAACTATCTCAGAGATACATGAGTTACCTTAGACCTTTAGCTCAGTAAGTAGAGAACAAATAGCGCTGAAACAAAGGCCCCAAACGCATTAGAAGGACATCTGTCCTAAGAAACCTCCTCAAAGATGCTCTGGCCTGGCTCCAGAAAAACCTGGAGGCTCACAGCATCTGAACGCTGCCAAGATCAACTTGGTCATCTTGTTGTTCCCCATCCTCCTGTCACTTGATCTTCCTCCCCCTTCTAGACTATTCCAAGGGGAAGAGAAAGAGCCAAGGGCTCCATTCTTGGAGGAGAGAGGGACAGAGACCTTAATGGGGCATTCAGGCTGGGAGCTGTCTGCTTTTCAAAGTTCAGCCCTGGAAGTGGCAATGTTTGTCCTGGTGGCTGAATGTCCTCACATGATGGATCTCTGCAGCATGCAGCTGCCCTGGTTGCCATCATCTTGTACAGTCAGCCCTCTGGTCTGTATATGTCACTCTTCTCTGCTCTCCCCTCTGTGGATACACCAGCTCCCACAGGCACACAGCAGGCACTCTGTTGCTTGAGAGAATGGTAGAGCAGAATTCCACAGCCTGGGTGCCTGGAACATACCCAAGACCCAGTGAGGCAGTTATTTCTGTCACAGGTCGTGAGCCAGTAGGGAACTGTAATGACAAATTATTAGACTGAGACCAGTAATTTTCAGTAGAATAAAAAATGTCAGCTATGTCACATGTAACATGGTAATTACTATTGTGTAACTTTTAATTTCAGTTTTACTATACGCATGCACAGGTATACATATATGCATATATATTTTCTGGGGCGGGGGGTAGGTCATGACAGAAAATTGTATTTCTTGCTGTTGGGCATAGTTAAAAAAAATACCAAATTGTTCTGCAGAGATCTTGTGTCTGCTCTCAGTCAATTTAGATGCCTGCCTCCTATCTGCCCCAGCCCATACTTCCATACCATACAATCTCCTTCCCTCCTCATTCGCTTTCATCCCCAAATAATCTGGGTTGTTGCTCTGGAAGTCCTTCCTAGATCTTACTATTCCCTCTGCCTGTGGCCAAATCTTAGGCCCAGTTCAGATGAACAGTAGTGGAGCAGGTCAGGAGCTTCATCCATCTAGCCTCCTAATCTTCCCATCCAGGTGGGAAGCCTCCTAGGTCGTGAGGCACTGGCCTGTGAGGCACTTGTTTGCTATGAGCATTCTGAAGAAGGAGGGGTTGTAGCTTAGACCATTTGTTCAGGAAGCAGTCATTTACAAGTTGCTGCTGAGATACGAGATGGTGTCTATATTTTCCAAGCCAGAAAAGGGTACAGTTGTCTCTTAGTATTCATGGAGGATTGATTGGTTCTGGGACCCTTGGGGTTACTAAAACCTGTATAGGTATAAAGTTTCCTTATCTAAGATAGAAGTATTTATATAATCATCTGTTCTCATTTACTTTAAATTTATGATATTTAACACATTGTAATGCATATAAATGGTTGCTTTACTGCATTGCTTAGGGAATAATGACTGTACATGCTCAGTACAGATACAAATGTTTTTTTATGCAGAACATAGGGATACAGGGCATCAACTCTATATGGAAGCTTTCAAGTATTTATGGACAAGAGTGCTTGGGGAGACTTGGTCTCTGGAGAGGTGGGGAGTTTGCAGAGATTGAGTGAAAGAACTGTCTATCCTGGTCTTGAGTTGCTTGCAGGTGTTAGTGAGAGCAAGCATGAGGCCACCAGACAGGAAATGGTCAGCAGCAGGGGAGGCACCATGGCCCGCAGGGAGAGAGCACACAGCTGTCCAAGTGTCCTTGCAGTATGTCCTTGAGGGATGGGGCTCCCAGGAGGATCCAGGGAGGACTTGTGAGAAGGTGAGGCACTAGTGTGACCAAGAGCAGTGATGTGGGTCCACGATGGGCCCTGCGTTCCGAGTCTTAGGAAGATGAAGGAGTTAGCTCTCTCACCCCAGTAGCTGACACGTGACTTGAAGGTGGGCATGGCAGCATCATGAATTTCTCCCAACTTGATGCTACATAGCAATTCAGTGCCAGAACATGTGGGGGTGAGGAGGAAATCACGGATTCAGAATATTTTATTTGCCAAGCAAGAGACTATTTCAATTAAGCTAGAATTCTAACTTCCTGTAACTCTAAATTCCCTGGTTTTTCCCCACTCTGCCTCACACTCCTTTGGAGAGAACAAAGAACAAGTGCTTTTTATCAAACAAAGCAACTGCAGTTAAAAGACTGGTGGGCACCAGCGGCTAATGCCTATAATCCTAGCTACTCAAGAGACTGAGATCTATGGATCTCAGTTTGAAGCCAGCCCAGACAAGAAAGTGCATGATCTGTTTATCTCCAGTTAACCACCAAAAATCCAGAAGTGGAGTTGTAGTTCAAATGATAACTTGAATGGAAAAGCTCAGGGACAGTACCTAGGCTGACACACATAGAACTCAACCCCAGGACCAACACACACACACACACACACACACGAGAGAGAGAGAGAGAGAGAGAGAGGCCCTGTATTCTGTAGGGATGCTTCAGGCTTCATTTGTTCCATTCTGTCCCTGTGCTATTCATTTCTCACTATCCCAGCCACTATGTGGGGTCCTAGGATCAGTAGAAGTTGAATCATGCCCTTTCGCAGTCCCTATCCCAGACCTACTCAATCCAGAAACCAGGTGGAGGACAAAGGTCTGCTTTAACTAGCTGCCTCCCTCTTCAGGTAATTGTGATGCTTGCTGAAGAACCTCTCCTGGGCTCTCACTTCCCAGTTTCATCCCCTGAGAGCTTGGTAGAAACTCAGAACTTCAAGTTCTACTTCCTGCCTTCCAAATCGGGATGTGCAGCTGAAAAGATCCCAGGTGAACTGTGTAGCTGGGGAAGCATCAAGGCAGGACCCTCTCCTAAGCAGCAGGTACCATCTAGGGGTCCTGGTCTCACCATTCTCCCAAGCACAACGCCTTCCACTTGAAGAATTTCCTGGGCATGCTCTTCAGAGCCCATACCCAAGACCACCTATTCAAAGTGCAGCTTCCTGGCCCTTTTCTCAACACTTCCTAAATCAGAATTTCTGTGGCTGCAGCAAAAGATGGATGTCACATGC